GTTTCTCTAATTAGAATATTTGAAGTGCTATGTAGAAAGGATAAAATGATTTGCGTCTAGGGGTAAGTTACTACTTGTATGCTCCAAGAGTTTAGTTTAGCTTATACCTAATGGGAAATGTTTCGCTGATTGCCATATGTAATGTGAAGTGTATCAAGAGATTAGCTTAGATAGAATTGCTATGATTAAAATCTAAGTATTATGTACCATCTGTCCTTTGGACTGAATCAAGCAGTATCATATGGATTACCAGGCAAAATAGTATATCGACGGTTAAATCTAAGGAGAAAGTGTACAAGAAATATTTACGAAGTTAAACTACCTCTAGGGATAATAAGTTTGTAAAATATTTAAATAAATGGTACTGGATCGTATTAAGTAAAAGGAATAATAAGAGAAATGTAAAAGAAGATAATTGTGTCGCTACTACCGATCACATCAATCATTTACCTTACTTAAATGTACTTCATACGAACTTTTAAAGAGGAAAAACTCCTAACAAAAATAACCAAATGTATCTTTCTCTGCTTTTTTCTGCAAAATCACATACTTAATTTACCATAAAATACTTTTATTGATCATGATTAGCGCTGATGTACGTTCACTCTCAGAAATAGATAAAAAATTAAAGCACATTGTGGTCGTGTAGCATGATTGCTACGAAACGAATTTCACTATGTCGTCTTTCAGTGAATGCTACAACGCGATATGGATGCTTTACAGTAGTAACAACGCGTTCTAACCTGTTTTGTTGTTCAATGAGCAATGAGTCTTTGAGAATAATATATCTAAAAATAACTGATAAATTATTTACGTATAAATACTTAAAACATGCAAAATTTTTATCAAATAAACAATCCCTTTTCATTTTTGGTTGCCTCTAGTAACAAGAACTGAGATGAAAATCTGATGTATACTGGTTCATTCGTAATACGAAATGTTATGCGAATTCTAATGAGAATTCCTATTTTTGAAAGATCTATTGAAAAGAACTGTATAAAAATGTTGTATTTTCACAATTCTCTGGCATGGTGCACTACGTGCGTCATTTTGACGTGAATGTATGTAATGCAACCTCGTTAGCTGATAGACCTGACATTTCTTCGAGTGCAATTAAGTTTCATTACAAAAAATGGGAAATGGTAAAGGAATGGGAACAAGTTTATTGTGACGAACAAATGAAGAATGGCTCACAGAGCGTAAGAAATCAGTGAAACGTGTCCTAACTAGGCAGAAACTTTGTCAGCGAGTCTTTATTCATTAAAAACAATATTTATAGGTCAAGTTCGCCTAATTTTGACAATCACTTGATGATCCTGTTAGAAATGGAGACAAAAAAAATGAAGAATATATTGCTTTTTTGTATCCATGAAGTTACCAAATTTATACAATCTATAAAGTACAATGAAAATTTATGAATCTATTCGAAACGAGAAGTAAGTATATTATTTTATTGAAATTAACATTCCGAATGCAGATAAGATGCGAGATTTCTGAATTACGAATCTGTTGGAGTCAATCCAAAGTCAATATATTTGAAATGTACCTACATTGAATCCAGATTGCTCAATAACATATGTCATCGCCAGTTTGGAAATTGGATGCCGAAAGAAGATAAAAATGGAAAAAGAGCAACCGAATGCAACTCGCAGTGGCGTGTCCCAAGAGGAACGTAAAAAAGGAAACGTGTCATTTTCATTATCTAATACAATACAGAAAACAACATATATAGTAACCTATGGATTTATTTCTGGAATCCTCAGAAATAATTTGAAATTTTTATTTGTTTCCTTCAATAAAGTTTTTAATTTTAATCGGTCATTACATGTACTACACAAATTTCATACGTATTTTATACCTAATTAAAATGCTAAAATAAAGTGTAACGCCTATATAAAAATAAATTATATAGCATGTACATGAAACAAACACAATATTTTCTTCTATGCGCCCAACCGAAAGCACAAAAGGACCGTAAGCTTTTTGTCGCTATTCGCTGATTTAGATTTTCTCTGATTTTGATTTGATTATAAGGCAATAATGAAAAACACAAGCCAAATAAAGCTACATTATCTGAATGAATTTTATCATTACTTAATGAGCACGCTGTTAGTTGTTCTTTATACTGTATAACAAAATTTAGTTTCTAGATAATTCACAAAAAAATAATTCAATATAAAGATACTATTGTCTGGAAATGATTTCTTAATACTCATATTTTATCAACGCCTGTTTTATTATCCAAACACTGTAAAGAATAAGGCATAATAATTTCTCTTATTTTCCAGCGAGGCTCGTTCTAAATAGCCACCGATGGGACACATCATTTATTTATTTTTGAACAATCTCTAATTTAATGTCCCAAACTCCTTACTATTCTTTTCCTCTTTGGGAAATGCAGTGACACACAAGAAATGTTATGATAACTATACTATTGTACTTTTTAATCAATCAGTTATTCATCAATTGAAAATTGACAATAACGAGAAGTTAATTCAAGTAGAACAGTTATTTTTATGAATCCATAAGTATGTTTCTAATTTCAGCGACGTATTGGTTTGATGGATGAGTGAAATAAATGTTTTTTAGGCAAACCCGTTTGATTGTTGACTTTTGCCAATGCGATGGTCGATTTGGAATTGTAATTACCAAAGTCTAATTTGATTGATTTTAACGAAATTATCGTTTTTAATGTTCCCCATTTACGTATGATGAGAGATTCGAATTGGCTTCGGATGTGGATTCAACGGCAGACGTATCCACCAGGCAAGCAATCGATTGGTCCGTAATTTGATTTAAAAAGACATTAGCAAACAAATGGAATTTCTTGTTGGGAGGAGTAAAAAAGTAAAAAATACCGCACCGCGTATTGCTAGAAGAAGTGATTAAAAATGCAATTATTTTTAAGAACTAAAGGGACTTTAATCAATAGCCTAGAACAGGATACGAATATACGACAACAGAAAAAGTAATTAAAAACTTCTCTATATAATTCTCTTGCAATCGCAAACTATTGCGGTATTCAAGTAAAAGTCTCAACGAGATCAATTGGAGTACAAAAATATTAGCCATTTGCTAATTAAGTATTAGTTATCCTAAGAATTTAAGATTGTTTGGTATGACGTACTTGTTTATTGCTAGTTAATGTTGGTATTTATTTCAGGTTATTTTCTAAAGATTACTTCTTTTTTTTATATACCAACAGAAACAGTAAACAATTTAACAAACATTATGTTACGAGCTTGAAAAGTTTTACTGTAGATACACTTTTGAAGTTATTTAGCTTTGAAAAGTAAGTTAGAACGACTGAAAGTGTTATATTATGTAAATTTTTCAATATTGGTAAAGCTGATATACTTGGCATTATCGATTTTTCGCCCTCTTAAGACTCTATAAAGAAGGTAAATTTTATCAAAATTGTTTGAGCAGTTTTCGAGAAAACAATTTTCATCATCATAACGTCAGTCCTAAGACTGGTTGGACACGCACCTCCGCTCTTTCCTATCCTGAGCTAATCTTCGCATTTCTCTAAAACTAGAACATCACACATCCTTAACTATTTGCGAATAGAAATCTAGGTCTTCCTCCGTTCCTGTTATCTCCTGTTTCTACTTCTAATATGTCTCTGACTAGTCCTTCATGTCTTAGAAGGTGTCCTACAAAACCTACCTCGCCTATTTTTTATTGACTTTCATAGAGTTCCCTTTTTACCTATTCTTTCTAATACCTCTTCATTTCTAACCATCTCTATCCAAGGTATGACTTATCTGACTTCCTAGGTACCTAAAATCAGCCACTTCTAATCTTTCGTCGCCTATCTTTATATTCGCTCTTTCCCTACATTTTCTTCCCTTGCATACCAATAAGTATTTTTGTATTTATTTATTTTCATACAATACTATTTTGTCATTACCCCTTCCATTTTATTTAAAGCTATCTCTAACTCCTCCTTGCTGGATGTTAATACTGCTATATCATCTGCAAATCTAAGCATATTAATCTTCTGCCCCTGAATATCTATTCCTACAGTTTTACTCCCATTAAGGTCTTTAATGTAATTATAAAAAAATTATTTCTCGTATAATAGTACTATAGTGGCTAATTGTAAAAATTTACGGTATTTTGTAATGTCCTTGTGAGGAGTATTTAATTCCTAAAAACTTTACAGTTGACAGTAGTTTATCGAAAGTGTCCCAGTGTGAATAAGGTTTTCACGGTAGTTACTAAAAGAGCTTCGATATTTGGGATTGCTAGCCGGAAATCGAGCTGGAATATCGAATCGTTTGCGAATGGTCATGATATTTTCATGAAACCAATGAGTTATGAGTTCTACATAGCTGTCGACCTCCAATAGTTTCGGCAAAGCACTAGTCAAGAACGTAATTTTTATTTCAACAATCTTAAACATTATTGAAACTGTTGATAATGGTCTAGTATAGATCGAAACAATTATTGTCGATTAAATATGTAAATTTCTAGTTGGCTTTAATTTCTATTATCATACGTCAGATACGTTACTGTTTAGTAACAAAATATATATCAAGTTATTGGTAGTACAACGCCATCTCTTGATATTTATCGCTACCTTCAGTATTTTAAATTTTCAATATTCTTATAGGAGGTGCACATAAAAGCGTGTAAACCAAATGTTGTTTTAGAAAATCAACCTATGTTAACCATGAACTATTAGATACTATTAATAATCATGCCTATAGATTATTTTGACGTCGAAATGACGTCTTGTGTTACTTAAACTCATGTAGATATGACACAAATCAGATCACAACGCAATTCGTCCATTAGCCAAAAGCAAAAGTAAATCTTTGCATAAACTTGAATAATCAACTGTCTATTTTGTGGTTTAAATCCCCATTGCCTTATTCGCTAGATCTGTTTACGTAAATTTTTCAAAACTATTTGACAACAGTATAGGTCCACTTATGATGCGTAGATGTACACCTCAGATCAATTAAAAAAGAAAAAATAATTATTGTACTTACCTCCGACGACGTTAGGTAGCATAGCCGCGAGTCGGCACTTTCTATCGAGGCCTGCTGGACAATGCCGTATCTGGACTCGCGATCGCTCATGTAATCCGATCGTAAGCTGTCCTGTCTGTCGAACAGACTTCTGAAAAGATCAACAAAAATATCAGTTACTCACTTAGAGCAATTTTCTCCTAATCCTCTTTCGATAATCGCATCAGCAAAAGTTACCTATGTATTAGAAAACGCATGTTTGAAATGTACGGACTTCTTTAGACTGAAATTTTTGTTTGAGCTTTTATTTTTCTAAAGAATTAAAGAATGAAATTCTAACAGGATCGGTATTGACTATATCTGCTATAATTGACATTTTCATAATTTATAAGGACATATCATGGTCCTGACTTATGACTGACTGGCTATTATTATGACAATTCAGTGATACTTCGGGACATATTTTTTGGAAACAAAGAGTGTAGCAATGATAACTGTATGCTGTATACGTACACCAGGTGAACAGGGAATGTGGCTCAACCCCAATAGGTATAAATCTTTCTTTTATTTTTTAAGATAAAATTTGAAATTTGGGAACAACATCTACTTTGGACTTTCACCACAAATTAAAAAGTGAGGGATGAGGGGGGGATATATACTAAATATTCATCTCTATATGTGATTCAATTATTTCCGCCTCAAGTACGAAAGTGGCTTCTAGAATAACTATGATATTTAATAATATAATAGACAGAAATAATTCATCTGTTTCCTTACTAATTGTTGCCCAAATTTACAGTTCATTACATTAACTAGGTACAATTAAAGTCGCGTTTTTGTAACATAATCATGAAAAGATTATTTATGGGCACATTTGTAAATGCTCAAAGGTGCTTATTTTGTGAAGGCGGAATTAATATTATATATCGCTTTCATCCTTTGTCAAGGAATCCCAGAAAATGTTGGGTGCCTACACCAACTAGGACCAAGTGTGTTGGTGTATTCTTTAATAAATGATGTCATACACCTATTTGAAATATTCTAAGAAACCTTTTAATAGTGGTCAATATTCAATATCAATGTGAAAACTCATTTCAGTTTTATTTACTACAAATTATCGCAAATTAATAACAAAAAATTGTTGCTGCTGATAAAGATGCGAATAAAATTAAATGAATTTTCACATTGATATGAATATTGACAACTATTAAAAACTTTCTTAAAGTATTTAATGTGACATTAATAGATAAATATTAGTTCCACGAATCAGTGACCTAATGAGTGTGTTTCGTCGTTGTTGCTGCAGTCACCTCTCGTTGCTTAGTGTTCGTGGGTTCGTTTCCCGGCGAGTGTGTAATAGCAGCATCAATTTTTTTTCATCAATTTAATTAATTAAATGAATTTCCACATTGTTGTTACATACCTATTTACTTTTATACTTACACATAAGTAAGTACGTGCAGTTATTGGTAAAGTGTCATGCAAAATTATAATGTGATAAACTTTTCCCAAACAACAAAAGGTATTAATGGGCCTTGATGTACATTTTTAATTCGAGTTTATGATCGGAGCAGAATAGTTGTTATACTTTATGGTTGTTTTATTCTTCATAAACCTTAAGTAAGAGAAATGTTCTTTTTACGTCCTCTTTTATTCAAAATAAATTTAATTTCTGCAGCTTTTATGTTTCTATCATAAACTCTACCATGACGTTGTAATAACCGAGTAAAATATGTAAATTTAAAACAAAAAAATCGCATAAACTGCCAGTGACGCAGGTTTACACCTTTTTGTATATGTTCTACTTTAATATCAATTTAGTTTACCGCAAATTTAATATAAAAACACAAGGAATCTTTTTATGAACATTAGGGTACAAAAAAAAATAATACCTGCTTCTTTTATCGCTTTCACAATAATATGTATGTATTAGTTTGTTATTATTTATAAATTCCTCTTAAAGTAGGAGTATTCTGGCATCATAGTAATAGCTAATAGAGTGGATTTCGGGTATAACGACGACGAAGTGATCACTGTAATTTAGTCGTTATTTCCGGAAGTCGCTACAAATAAAGGCAAACACATACAGACACGTATGTATAGTTTTCATCAACAGTAAATGTGCATTTAGGAGTCATACTTCTTCGAAAGTTTACTAAACACAGTTGCTACTCAGAATATCACTTTGTAACTGAACCGTTTTAACATACACGCTATAAACAAATGGTAAATATACCACGCTCGTGACCATCTGTGTAAAAAAGCTCTTTGTGTTTTTGGCGGCCAACTCCAGTTGCTACATCCGCGTGGGATTACTAGGGATTTGTTACAAATGATTCATTAAAAACAGTAGCTACACCCGAATTTTGCGTTATATCCGAAGTCGCTATAGCCACATGAGTTTTGTACTGAAGTATGCTTTAAATTCAAGGGACTTAACGTAAGATTTAACGCTGCTATAGCAAAATGGTCACTATAACCAAGCTCGTAATAAATGAAATTCACTGTAGATTTTCATTCCAGATATATACAGAAATTGTTGGTTTTTTTGCGCCATCGCATTGAAAATTATACAAAATCGGCTAAAAATTTAGACCCGAATCAGGACAGCATCAGTTTTAGTGTTACTTTAAATATAATATTTAGGTTTTACCCAAAAAGCTTTTTTTAAGAAAACGTCGCAATATATTTTTGTGAAGTAAGTGTCTACCTTATTTCGTTATAGAGTGAATACTGATCATTGTGCATTATGCCAGCAGTCAAGAAATATAACAAAACATGGTAGGTACATAAAACAAAAGAAAGGAGGGTTAATAAGGTAGCTTTTCCACTTCCATTAAATTTTCATGGGACAATTATTTTCAGTTTATGACAGTCTCTAGAACTGAAACATACTACATTGTACAGGAATACATATACACGTATACTTGAATAAAATATCATATGAATGATATCGTAATGAGCATTCAATCAATTTCAGTTTTAATAAACCATGAATGAAACTAAAGAATTAAGTGATTTTTGTAGTTGGCCGAAAGAATTGTCGAGTTTTGTTGAAACATATTTCTTGAAAATAAAAAAAAAACAAAATTATTTTCCTGAAGCATGTAAATTAAAAATATT